AAACTGCCCCTCTTGTTTATTTCAGAACTAGATTTCAAATAAAAATTAATCCCAGGTGCAAGAATATTGTGTTATTTTGGCTTTGAGAGGAAAGCAACAGAGAGGCTGGCAAAGCTGAGTCGCGCCCTGCTTCTCATCCTCACACTTTAGAGAAGTCAACACAGGACTTCCCTGTGGTCCACTGGTTAAGAGTCTGCCTTGCAATGCAGGGGATACCAGTTTCCTGGTCGGGAAACTAAGATCCCACTTACCCTACAGCAACTAACCCTGTGTGCCACAGCTCCTGAGCCCACACCACAACTAGAAAGCCCATGTGCCGCAATGAAAGATCCAGCACGACACAGCTAATACCTGACAGCCAAGAAAATAAATAAATATTTTTTAAATTCAGTTCAGTTCAGTCGTTCAGTCGTGTCCGACTCTTTGCAACCACATGGACTGCAGCACGCCAGGCTTCCCTGTCCATCACGAACTCCTGGAGCTCAAAAGTATTTATTTTAAATAAATACTTTATTTAAAAAAATCAACACAACCCCTCAATATATGGAATCAGTCAAAAGCTACACTGATCAGGGAGCTACTAGTGGCTAAAGTTGTAATTTCAAAGTCCACCAAAAGTGAATTATTTGATTAACTAGCTTAATCAGTAACCTTGACCATTCCTCTTCCTAAAAGAGGAAAGAAATATTTGCAGGGAAAATAATTCTGTGGAGGAGCTGATTTTTTTTTAAATTTTACTTGGAAATAAAGAATATTCTCTGGTTTGTACCTAAACTTGTTTTAGAGGCTTTCAGAAGTCAAGGGAGCAGCCTTACCATTTCAAGCAGCTTAACTCACCTTCCTCTCACGCATCACACAGGGTTTTACTGATTTACTGATGAACGTTGTTCATAAGACCCTGAGATGCTCCCAAATCCTGGTGTCTCTCCTGATTCAGAGCAAGAGTGAAAGGGCTCAGTCAGCATAACGCATCGCCATTAAAAAATAATAATAATGTGCATGTCTCTGTTTTTCCCTACTGCTACTCCCTTGCTCACTACCTTCCAGAAGAGTGGTCACTGTAGACCCTGACACAGAAGTTTTCTTCCTCCAAGTGTCGAGTGTAAAACCGATGAACTATTAATATAATGAGGAACCTTAAATCAAAACTGAAACCAACCCATGTCTCCTGAGATGAGAACAGGAGCAGACCCTACAATGCCCATCACTTTCCAGGACTATGCAGCTGTTTGGGGGCACATTCTTTATGCCCACCTAGTTTCTTTAGAATAAAAGCCCCTTGTGGGGTCCTCCTGGTGTGTGGGGGCAGCAGGGGATGCAGAGTCATCTTGCTCACCGTCCTTGTGAACAGCCTGGCCCAAGGCTGCTATGTGGTTGCTAGTCTCATAAGGGCCCACAGGACATGCACATCCTATGAGTCATATTGAAGACAATTTTCCAGGCAAATGAATGTGAGGTACAAATGTATTTATTAACCGCATGGAAATGTCAGACAGGAAAAGGCATTTAAGATCATATTTTTGAATATGTCTACACTTTACATCTTGACAGAATATCTCTATTGGAATAATTGATTGACATTTTTACCTGAATAAGCCCAATTCTCACTCTTGATCCAGACACCCCTCCTCCCTGAGTTTTCCTCATTCCAGGAAAAGCAATTCCACTATCCTAAACCTTTCCTGTCATCTTTGTTCTATCTCCCTTAAACCTCAACCCAAGGAAGCAAGCCTCCTTCCTCCACCCTGCCTGCTTCCCCACTGCCCCGCCCCAAGAGGAACCGTGGTCTCTACCTGCAGCAACATAGATGCTGTTAACAGGAGGCCATCCTGCAAGTTCGCAAGTCTTATGTTTCCGCCCCACTAGCCTCTTGGAGGGAATTCATCTCCCCAGCACCCCCTGATCCTACCCTCCCCTCCTTGGTGGGAGAGAGCTGGGGCCACTGAGGTAAAGAACTTACTCCAGGCACAGAAACTTCTGGGAGTAGGAGCTTGCTTACATGTTTGAGAAATTAAAAATAAACCTACCACCTGATCAGCAAGTCCACTTCTGAGTATTTATCTAAAGGAAACAAAATCACCACATTGAAGAGATGCCCATGTTTATCATAGCATTATTTATAACAGCCAAGGCATAGAAACAGCATCAGGATCCACAGACAAATGAATGGATAAAGGAAATGTGATCCATGTAAGCAATGGAATATTACTCAGCCATCAAAAAGAAGGAAATCCTGCCAACATGAATGGATCTTGAGGACATCAGGCTAAGTGAAATAAATCAGAAGACAAATACCATATTATTTTACTCATATGTGGAATCTAAGAAATCAGATTTGTGATAACCATAGGTGAGATGTGAGTTTTGAATGAAGATGTTCAAAAGGCACCTACTTGCAAGGTAATTATAAGGTAAAAAGATAGTGAAGGACTGATAAGCCTGGCATGCTGCAGTTACTGGGGTTGCAAAGAGTGAACATGACTCAGTGACTGAACAAGGTAAATAAGTCCTCGAGAAATAATGTACAACATGAGGACCATGGTTAACACTGCTGTGTGGGTACATCTGAATGCCACCAAGAGAATAAATCCTAAAAGTTCTCAACACAAGAGAAAAACATCTCTGGGTAACTATATGAGGTGATGGATGTTCTCTAGAGCTGTTGTGGTCATCATTGTCTTGCACTATACTATGGCCAGCCATTATGCTCTGCACCTTAAACTTATACAGTGTTGCATGCCAGTTATAGCTCAATAAAACTAAATTTAAAAAGACATGGCTAGAAACTCGGTAAATCAAGGGGAGAGAGAGAAGTCAGAGAACAGAGGAGGGCAAGTCATACTGGACCATGTTCCTTCTAAGGAACTGGAGCACGACTGAAAGTTTGAGCAGGGAGACTTCGGATCTGATTGTCATTTGGCTGCAGGAGTCGGCAGAGCCCAGCCAGGGGGCGGAAGTGGGGAGAGTGGCTGGGAGGCCAGGGAGCCATGACAGTGCCTGGACCGAGTGATGGGACGTGGTGCCTCTGAAGGCAACACTGACCAGCTTCGAGGATGGTTCGGATACTGAGACGTGAGAGAAGAGGGCAGTGAAGAATGACCCCAGGTACTGGCCCTGAGAAACTAGGAGAGTGACATGAACCCTTACTGGTGTAGGAATGAAACAAGGACAAAATTTTGGAGAGAACAATTAGACATCAGAAGCTCAGGGTTGGATGGACCTGCTAACTGTAAGATATCTCTCATCATTTTCATCCAAATAGAAATATCACAAATGGATGTTGGATACAAGAACCTAGAGTTTAGGGAAAGGGTTCAGGTTGTAAACATAAACTTAGGAGCCAAGGATCTATAGATGATATTTCAAGCCATGAGATGAGACGAGATCCCCAAAAGATTTAAGGTCGATGAAAAGGAGAGTGATCCCCAAGTGCTGTTTTTCTGATAGAAAGATGAAGGACTGGGAATAGACCACCGCAGTTGTTCAGACAGAGGTCATCTGTGCGGTTCTGTGTAGCTGTCAAGAAATAGAAAACCAGCATAAGGGTCCCCATGGGTGAGGATGGAGCCTCAGGGATGAGGCAGAAGAGAGCAGGGCACCTGACGGGCACTCCAGTTTCCTGCCTTAGGGCATGTTGTGGAAGGGAAGAAGTGACCCAGAGGGATGACATGACTGGAATTCCCCTTTGGAAAATATCCTGGTGACAATACAGAATCGGAAAACTGCAGTATGGATAACAAATGTTTACAGGCCAATAGTTGGAAGTTATTAACATTTGTGAGTATATTCAGATAAATCAGAAAAAGTCACTTCCTGAGTCCTGGTTTTATTCTACTTCCTTCCCACACTGACTCCTTCCTAGGTAGCATTTCATTCCAGGCAAGGATAAATTGCCCCAGAAACACAAAGGTGCCCCAGATCAAGCAGGATGACTTTGTGCTCACAGAGTCCAAATCTTATTCGTCTCCCAAAAAATATATTCCCAAAGCATCTGATCATTTTGAATAACTTGGGAAAATATTGACTCTGTTTCTCAAAGAGCAATCCAAGGATAAATTTTGTCCTTAAAGTAAAAAATAAAATCTGAATTTTTAATCTCACATCAGTTGTCCCTGTCCATATACAAACATTTCTTTCATCTTTCATTTCTAAATAGAATGTACCATTTCACTGAAAGTCACAGTGGTCTTAAGAACTGCTGATAATTCTAAATGACTAAAGCAATTAATAATTACTTATATTAGGGCTATAAAAATGTAGCAAAACTCTATGCATTGAAGTTACATGTCAATTGAAATAAGCCATCTTTACTGAAATCTTAACAAAACTTAATAATGTCTTTACTCAACTCACAGAACAACCATCAACTTTGCTCACAAAGCAATTTAGTGGATATTATTTCTTCCTCAAAATCATTTTGTGAAGAAGATAGCTGATCTGTTCTTTTACTTTCAGGGACAGTGGGAGGAAGCAGAAGTAATTCTCCACATAACTGATTTGCCCAAAGATTTATCCCTCTGAAAGATTTTGAGACAAATTGTGCTTCTTGAATTTCAAGATGTAGAGTATCAAGAACCGAAGATGTAGAGTATCAAGAACCGCAACTCAGCCGGACACCAGGGCAAAGCCCCATGGGGAAGTAGAGATGCTGAAATGTATCAGGACCACCACCAAATGTGCAAAACCCTCCCTCCACAAAACCTTGTGTTTTCACTGAAGGGTTTTGTCCTGCATTTGGATCACCATCTTTGTGCTTGATCCAGTTGCCCCCTCCTGTTACTGACACGAGCCAGCCTGACCAAAGAACACACAGTGACCATCCCTCCTCAGTGAGAAAAGAGAATCTGGCCAGACCCACTTGTTCCATTGATTAAAGAAGACAGTCAAAGGGCCAAAGAGCAGAAATTTGAAGGTGCAGATGCATGTGTCTTGCAGAGAAAATAAGGCAGCTTGTGAAATTGTGAAAAACACCCACTCCATCACCATGTATATATGGTTACCTGAGGCACCCGAGATCAGGTGGGATGATGTCATGGTTACATGAGGCACCTGAGATCAGGTGGGATGATGTCATGGTTACATGAGGCGTCCGAGACCAAGTGGGAAGACATCATGGTTCTGTAGCCCAAATTTCATTTATTTCCAGGAAAGAATCTTCCCAAAGCATCTCACAGTTTTGATCAGCTTCAGAAAGTACTGCTCACTTTTCTTAAAGGGAAGTCCTTTCTTTTTTCTCCCCTCTGGCAACTTCTCATTTACCTCAGATGAAGTTGCCCATATTTAGTGAATAATGGTACAGGACACCAGTTCAATTTGAATTTCAGATAATTGATAAATGTTTCTGAGGATATCTCAGATACCTTATAGAACATACTGAATTTAACAAAATGATTCTTTGTTTATCTGAAATTCATATTTGATGGGACCTCTTGCCTTTGCGGGTTTCCCTGTGACTCAGAGGGTAAAGAATCTGCCTGCAGTGTGGAGACCCAGGTTCTACCCCTGGGTCAGGAAGATCCCCTGGAGAAGACAATGGCAACCCACTCTAGTGTTCTTGCCTGGAGAATCCCATGAACAGAAGAACCTCGTGGGCTACAGTCCATGGGGTCGCAAGGAGTCAGACATGGCTGAGCACAAACACTGGTCAGCCGCTTGTCCTTGATCTGATAACGCACAGTCCCAAAGGGACTAAAGGAGCGCTCACACGGGGGTCGGACAGCCTGAGCACTGAACACACCGGACGAAGCTCCCCAGTCTGCAAGCCCGCTGAAAGGCCTGCCTGAGAAGTTCGTGAGTGAATTAGAACACGTAGCAAACCGACAGGCATCAGAGAGCATTTGTATTTGTCTTGTCATTTCTCACAGCTCCTCTCTTCTTCCTATCCTGCTGTCCCAGAAGAAAACACCGTTACTCTTCAGGCACCTGCTCCTGGTTTTATTGTGTTTCGAGCCTTCGGGGGCAGGAACTGCTTGGCGACCAGAAGCTCTTCTGTCTGCTGCACACCAGAAGCCCCAAGTCAAGAGGGTGTTACGTTTTACAAGGAGAGGCAGAGGCACTCACCTCAGGAAGCAGTCCCCAGTCCCTTCAGGGCTGTGAGCAGGTTAGATTTCCTATCATCTCCATGTATGGACCCGGAAAGTGGGCAGCAGCCTTGAAATCAGGCTTTCTGAAACTCTGCTGGATGACCACCACTTCCTTCCCGTCCCTTCCCCGGCTTGTTCACATCGCCTAATTCTAGTTCTTCATTGTTTGAAGGCACAGCAATCCACAATTGAGATCTATTTCCCAACTTTCCAGCATTAGAGTCATCATGAAAAATCAGTCATTTTACATATTATAATTCCTCCACCTTTCCTCCCCTACCTCCCTAATTTTGATTAAATAAACCATTATTTGTCATTCAGTCATTCCAACTCTTTGCGACCCCATGGGCTGTATTTCTTTTAAATAGTTTTATGCTTAAGTCTGTTGTTTGATTAATGAGCTTTAAAGACTAACTTTTATCTCACCTTTTTGGGGGCCCTTATTTGTTCATATACATTTTAGAATCAATTTTCCTGGTGTCCTCAGCTATCTTCTGGGATTTTATTTGAAACTGAATAGAATGCATAAACTAATTTGGAAAAACTAACATTTCTATCATTATTAATTATCCTATATATGAGTATACTATAAATCTTTTTTGAGTCTTTCTAAAGTGTTTAAAATAGTTTTCAATTTTCCCCCTGAAGACGTGATTCGTTCTTTGCTAGGTAATTTTCCCTAAACTCTATAGTTTTCTTGATATTTTAATTGAAAGCACCTCAGTTCCTCTTCTAGATGATCAATAGTGGTATGGAGGATCATGATAGAATTTTTTATGTTCATTTGTCTCTGGAAATCTGGCTCAACTTTTTTCTTGATTTTTCTAAGTAGATCAAGTCAGCAGCAAATAATGGCCATTTTCTCACTTCCTTCCAATCTTTTTATAGCTTATTTCTTTTCTTGGCCAAATCTTCTGGGAACTTGGTTAACAGTAACAGTAATAAAAAGGTTAAGAAAGAAAAAAAAAAGGAAGAGAAAGCTGAGAAGAAGAAAGAAGAGTACAGGACATGCTCTGCTCCAGACACTAATCTCAGCACTTTACTTAAATTAACGAGCTTGGTTTTCCAAACCTGGAGATGAAGGTACCGCTCTGATTTCCAGTTTAAAGGGGAAGAAAATGAGATGCAGAGAATCACGGAGTTTGCCCCAAGTCTGGTGCTGGCAAGTCCCTTCTCTGGGGACAGAAGACATTGTTATTTTGCTTCCAACATTGAGGAGCCCTTGGACTTTTTAAATTAAGGGTGATTTCTTATGTATTTGAATGCTCTTTGTGTTGATTTTTTTTTAAATCTTGTCTTCAATGTTCTCTTTTGCTGCGCATCATTCAATTTGTGTCCAAACTTTTTAAATTGTTATTTCTCATGTTACTGTGTTTATTAATATCTATCCTCCATGACCATAACTGGAAGGTCAAAAGTGTCAAATTCTTCTGATTTATACATGGAATTCCCATTTCTAGCATTTCTTTAAGTTCCCATTCTTTCCCAAACTCTGCCAGCTCATTCCATATTTTCTTCCACTGTTTTTAGCATCTCATCTTGCTAAATAAGTACAAACATAATTTTTCTATGTTACAGAGACCTATCAAGTATTTACACTTTAGCAGCTTTCTTTCAAACATGTTCTTGAGATGGCTTTTGTTTTGCAAATTTCTACTTTTTTGTCATTTGGTGTCTAGGTCTCAGGCTAGGTTTTTGTCCAGTTTTTATTCATAGTTTATGGGATCCATTACTCCTAGCCAAGCTGTTTGCTTTGAGAGGAAAAATAAGAGAGTGGCCTCAGGCAACAGGAAGCCTCAGTTAGAGGGCCTGCCCTGCTGTCCCTGTCCCCTACCACTTACCATGGCGGCGGCAGGCTGCTCACCCCAGTGAAGGCCCACGTGCCTCAATGCATAGGCCTTGAACTTGACACGTATGAGTGCCTGATGTATGCACTGTGAAAGCTGATTGACACCTCAGAGCCTGTCCCTTATAAAGACATCTTTGGGGTCTCTGCCTTCCCAGGCCCCATTCACTCTGGGTGGTGCAGGGGGGTCATGGAACCGGCAGATTCCAGGGACCCTGACCCTGCTGGCCCACGGAAGGGGTCATGGATTACACCCGTCGGATTTGTGCCACCACCTGCCAGAAAATGTGTCCTAACACGAACTTTCAGAAATATGTTTCCACTCCCTGTGTCTCTCTTCATTCCGCCCAAGCTTTTGGCAGATATTTTCATCACTTAGGACTTAAGGTTATGAAAAATGAGATTTTCTTCTTTGTTTACAACCTTTTTCTTGCTTTTATTAATTTGGGGGCCATAACTAGCTTTGCTCTGCTATTTCCAACCAGAACGTCTCAAAATATCCCCCTCCCTGTCCATTCTTTGTGTCTCCTGCTGTCACGGAGTTTTAGCCACAGTCCCAACAAATGAGCACCCACGTACCCCCAAACTAACTGTCCCCCACAACAGAGTGGGCTTTTCTTAAAATGCTAGATAGATTCTATCACTTCCCAGATTAAACCCTTTCACCTGCTCTTGCTTCTGCATAAAACATCGCCTTCTCCCCCAGCTCAGGGCTCTTCCCTCCCACCCTCACCACTTCCTCTTCCCATTACACAGGACACCCCCATTCCTAAGCCCGCTGACCCTCCTCATGCCCTCCCTTTGTTCTGAGACAGCTTCCCTGCCCCCTTTCACCAGACACCCCTACACACAAGCTTCAGATTTCACAAGTGGCGCTTCCTCCAGGAAGTCTTCCCTGTCTGTTCCCTGGCAGACAAGGGCCTGAGTGTGACTGCCCTATGACTGTCTTGACAGCCTTCTCCCCAGGGCCTACAGGAGAGACTGGCAAGTTGTAAGTAATTAGTAAATGCTGATTAAGATGGAATGAGCAGGCAATACACCAAGCCCTGAAGACACAGACGTACATAGATTAAACTTTCCTCAAGCGGCTCACATTCTAGTGACAGAAAATGTAGATTACACTGCATCTGATACAGAAAACTGTGGCAAAGACCAAAATGCATTTTCTTCTTACGGCAGTTGCCTCTGGCTTCCCTGGTGGTGCAGATGGTGAAGACTCTGCCTGCAATACAGGGGATCCCTGGGCTGGGAAGATCCCCTGGAGGAAAGCATGGCAACCCACTCTGGTATTCTTGCCTGGAGAATCCCATGGACAGAGGAGTCTGGCAGGCTGCATCCATGGGGTTGCAAAGCATCAGACACGATTGAGTGACTAACACTTTCACTTTTTCAATGTAATAAAGGAAAATATTTTTTTAAATACTTTTATCGGAAAAGAGAAAATAAATAAAGCCCAGTAAATCTAAATAGGAATGTACTATTTCAGACTAATTGAGAATCGAGAGCCAACAGCTGACGTCCTCCCCAGAGTCAGCCTCCAGAGCTCCAGAGCTCCGTCCCTCCCGAGTGTTTCCACCCCGTCTCGGGCGGAGTGCTATAATGCACTGACTTTGACTCTGTTCCTTGTCTCCAAACATCCTTTTAATGAATGTATTGTTTTCAACTATGTTTAATGGCAGACTTGCATTCCATCATGGAGGCTTATTTAGGAGAATTTTAAAAGCTAAAGTTGGGACATGACTGGCAATCCAGTGCTAAGACTCCACACTCTCAATGCAGGGCCCTGATCCCCAATCAAGGAACTAGACCCACACACCACAGCTAAAATATCTTGTATGCCTCAACTAAGACCCACAGCCAAAAAAATGAAATAAATATATTTTTTTTAATTCTTAAAAAAGACTCTCAGGTTAACTATGATTAAAAGGGTCCCAGTATGATGCCCCCTTACAGCGTCAGACAAATATCTGTGAAAATTGCCTTCTACAATGTTGTCCAAGGTCTAGGCTCTGAATATGAGGCTCGGAAGAGTCAATTTGTTGAGACCCTTCTTAACTGTGAAAGTATAGGTTCACTATTTGACTCAGAACATGGACTAACCTCAGAAAAAAAGAGGAACCCAAACACTTAGCTCCAATGGCATCT